ATCGTCTTAGCATATTTTCACAACATATCTATTTTTTATTTTTTTATTAAAGTCATGTTCACTTCAATTGGTTGTACACAATGAAAACTTCTTTATAATAACTTGAAAACATCTCTTTCAAAATAATGTGGGACTTGGAACAAGTAGTATATTAAAGAAAAAAGAAAAATGAATACTTGACTAAATTTAAAAGAGATTGCGCATCGTCTTAGCATATCTTCACTTAACGTTATTTTCTTCTCTTATGTAATTTAAAGTTACAAGGAAAGATCACTCCTAAATGCAGCTGGGATCTTATATATGATGTCGTTCGCCACAATAGAAAGAATGTTTTAACGAGCTTCTATAAGTCTATCCTGTCAAATAACCTAACTCTTGATAACATATCTATAATCATTGAAAGCATGAGAAGAAATGAATGTTTAGACTTCAATTTCTTTGAGACCATATTGAGTAAAATTAGTTCCACATCTCCTAAGATATTGAGTGTTGGAGAGGAAAATCACTATATATATTACCCATGTAATTTCTTTACCACATTAAAATGAAATCAAACTTTGTTGGTGAAACTTTGCATAATTAGCTTATATCTCAAATTTGTTTATCTTTAATTGTTCTTGGAATTCTCTTATTCTCCTATATTGGAAATCTTCTTTAAGGGAGTTAGTGTTAAATTTTTGTTCCTAATATAGTAAATTATTTAATTTGACAATATATTATCTAATATATATATATATATATATATATATATATATAATTTATCATTTTAGTAATACATATGGACCACTCTATTTTTTATTTTTTTTATTAAAGTCATGTTCACTTCAATTGGTTGAACACAATGAAAACTTATTTATAATAACTTGTTTTCATCAATTGGTTGTACACAATGAAAACTTATTTATAATAACTTGAAAACATCTCTTTCAAAATAATGTGGGACATGGAACAAGTAGTATATTAAAGAAAAAAGAAAAAATGATATTTGACTAAATTTAAAAGAGATTGCGCAATAGTCTTAGCATATTTTCACAACATATCTATTTTTTATTTTTTTATTAAAGTCATGTTCACTTCAATTGGTTGTACACAATGAAAACTTCTTTATAATAACTTGAAAACATCTCTTTCAAAATAATGTGGGACTTGGAACAAGTAGTATATTAAAGAAAAAAGAAAAATGAATACTTGACTAAATTTAAAAGAGATTGCGCATCGTCTTAGCATATCTTCACTTAACGTTATTTTCTTCTCTTATGTAATTTAAAGTTACAAGGAAAGATCACTCCTAAATGCAGCTGGGATCTTATATATGATGTCGTTCGCCACAATAGAAAGAATGTTTTAACGAGCTTCTATAAGTCTATCCTGTCAAATAACCTAACTCTTGATAACATATCTATAATCATTGAAAGCATGAGAAGAAATGAATGTTTAGACTTCAATTTCTTTGAGACCATATTGAGTAAAATTAGTTCCACATCTCCTAAGATATTGAGTGTTGGAGAGGAAAATCACTATATATATTACCCATGTAATTTCTTTACCACATTAAAATGAAATCAAACTTTGTTGGTGAAACTTTGCATAATTAGCTTATATCTCAAATTTGTTTATCTTTAATTGTTCTTGGAATTCTCTTATTCTCCGATATTGGAAATCTTCTTTAAGGGAGTTAGTGTTAAATTTTTGTTCCTAATATAGTAAATTATTTAATTTGACAATATATTATCTAATATATATATATATATATATATATATATATATAATTTATCATTTTAGTAATACATATGGACCACTCTATTTTTTATTTTTTTTATTAAAGTCATGTTCACTTCAATTGGTTGAACACAATGAAAACTTATTTATAATAACTTGTTTTCATCAATTGGTTGTACACAATGAAAACTTATTTATAATAACTTGAAAACATCTCTTTCAAAATAATGTGGGACATGGAACAAGTAGTATATTAAAGAAAAAAGAAAAAATGATATTTGACTAAATTTAAAAGAGATTGCGCAATAGTCTTAGCATATTTTCACAACATATCTATTTTTTATTTTTTTATTAAAGTCATGTTCACTTCAATTGGTTGTACACAATGAAAACATCTCTTTCAAAATAATGTGGGACTTGGAACAATAGTATATTAAAGAAAAAAGAAAAATGAATACTTGACTAAGTTTAAAAGAGAATGTGCATCGTCTTAGCATATCTTCACTTAATGTTATTTTCTTCTCTTATGTAATTTAAGAGTTACAAGGAAATATCACTCCTAAATGCAGTTGGGATCTTATATATGATGTCGTTCACCATAATACAAAGACTGTTTTAACTAGCTTCTATAAGTCTATCCTGCCAAATAGTCTAACTCTTGATAACATATCTATAATAATTGAAAGTATCAGAAGAAATGAATGTTTAGATTTCAATTTCTTTGAGACCATATTATTAATTCTACATCTCTTAAGATATTGAGTGTTGAAGAGAAAAATTACTATATATATTACCCATGTAATTTCTATACCACAATAAAATGAAATCAAACTTTGTTGTTGAAACTTTGCATAATTGGCTTATACCTCAAATTTGTTTATCTTTAATTGTTCTTGGGATTCTCTTATTCTTCTATATTGGAAATCTTCTATAGAGAAGTTAGTGTTAAGTTTTTATTTTTATATTAAGAATATTTCTAAGGATTCTCTTAGTGTCCTAAAGGAGTTAGTGTTAAATTTTTGCTCCTAATATAATCTTCCTTAAAATTCTTATTGTCCTATATTGGAAATCTTCCTTAAGAGTTAGATTTATGTTTTTGTTTTTATATTGAGAATCTTTAACTATTGTCAAATTTTTGTTTCTATATTGAAAATCTTTCTTAAAGGAATACTTTCCTGATTCATTTTATTGTTCTTATATCGAAATATTTCTAAAAGGAATGGTTGGCAGCTCCTATATTGAAAAAGAATTTTATTTTTTAAAATAATAATTAAGTTGAAATTAATTATTTTATAAATAATATATTTAAAGAATCAGTCTTGTTTTAAAAAAATTATACTAAATTCGTGCTAAAAATTAAATCGGCTACCTATCACAGTGCAAAAAAAAGTTGGCTGCTAACATAATTTGACTCACTTTTATAATTTTTTTCAAATTCCACACTAGTTTTTTTTTTTTTTAACCTGTAATGTAAAACAACCGCATTTGAGCATTGAACACTATCAGTATGAAATATATTTTTTTCAACAATAAATAGATTTTCATATAAATCATATCCTCTAAATATTCTACACACACTATCAAATTGGATAGAACACCCTAGGATAAGACAATAAAATTCAAATGTTATACACAGAAAACTATAAACAAGAAAGACTGATATGATTTTCCAACTAAAAATTTGCATTTTCATGATGCTATATTTTGAATAAATAGTTACCTAGTTTTGCAAGCTTTCAATCTCTCTTTGGTCTCTTCATGCTAGCAATAAACATTCAATAGAATCTTCATCAATTGTCATCAAAGGCCTTGGTCAAATATGACATGGAAATTAACTCATAAAGGATCTTTGTTCTTCACAACTTTGAATGTCCAGTTGTTTCATGATGGGCTAAATGGCAAAAATGTAACAATAATGGGTATTCCATCTCAATCTGCATTAACTTACAACCCGCTACTGCAGAATCAATAAGATAAGTATGCAATGAATTGCCTCAAGATTTCTAAGGGGTTTTTGACAGTGCAATAATCATTATTGGCCTAGGGTTGTAATTATGCAATGAATATCAACCTGATAGCCAACGTTAGAAAACCAACACACTTCCTAATATTGCAGTCTAGAAATGAAATCAGAAGATTATCTTGATCTTCTTAATGGATGAAATCAGGAATTCACTTGATAGATGACACTATTAGCGTACAGAGCAGATCTGGAAAAATGAAATCAAAGCTAAGTAAGTATCTTGCTGCATATATTACGAAGAATGAAGTAATTTTTCCTTTTCTATTGCTTCAGTCCAAAATTCATTTTCTATTATTAGAAAAAAATAAAAAATTCAACCTAATCTTACAAAACTGATTTGTAAGAAAATGTGTAATCCTCATTTATATATTTTAATATTATAAATTTTTTTATAATATCTCTTATTTTCAAGAGTTATTAGAATTGATTTTAATATTATATTATAAACATATAGATATCTAATTTAATTCTATAAATTGAATTATAAAATAACGTTTTTATCTGATCTATACCAGAATGTTATCCTCAGTCATTAGTTTGCTTATCCTAACATCATGCATGTTACCAAGAAAAATGCACATACATCACAAGACATGCATGCTAATTTGGTCTCGGGTTTGATCTAGAAATGAAATATTTATTCACTTTAATAATTCTTAATTTCTATTACAAAATGGTATCAGTTTTTATATCTGCAAAATCTTTACTATCAGATAAATTGTTTAAAGAATGTAAAGCAATGTCGGACCAACTTTTGTTTAGCTGTCCCAGTTTAATGAGTGCACTGACTATACCAAATCTAGACCCTAAAGCCATGGGCTTCTAGTTCTTCCCTCCCAAAAAATAAAGAGATTAGTACGTTGGATGTCTATTTTTTTTTTTTCATTTAATGAAGATTTTTACTGCATAATAACAACTGCAGCTTTGGCTAATAGATCATTTTATTGTTTAGAGAAAAAAAAAAAAGGTAATTGAGAATGTTGATGGTATGCTGTAAAGAAAATAAAATTCAAAGAGAGGAATGTCAATTATCATCTCCTCTAACTCGGTCTAAAACCAACTATTTTAATTTTTAGGAGAAATGATTAAATAGTTTAGAACTATAACAATTTAATGATTTCAATCAATTTTAACATGACACGTATTCAAGTTTTTAATTTATAAGAAAGAATTAATAACACAATACTTAACAATGTGTGTCATGCAAAAAATAGTAAAATCATGACAATCTGGAGGCTCTGAACATATTCTTATAATTTCAGGGATAACTAGTGGTGCGACTAAGCTTTGATATGCTTAACCCCTTGGATTTCCTACTCTCTAAACTTCTTTTGGCTATTTCCCTCATAGAATGAGTTAATGAGAGTTGAGGGTTAAGTCTAGTGGTGGCGTTATATTCCTGGCAGAAATCCCTGTGTGAGTTCAAAGCATCTTGCATGGCTACTGCAGGACTTCGCCCTACTCTTTCTTTAACAGCTTCGGAACAAAGCCCACAAACCCACTTCCCACAGTAGCATTCTTGAACCTCTGTGATATAAACTGTGGTGCAGTCCTCCTTCAACCCACAACACTGGCATTCAGCTTGTTCCACCTCTTCAATAGCACCAAGTTGCCTCTCCAACTTCAACTCATTATAGTATTTGTCAATTTCCTTGGACACGTCTGACACAGCCTTCCGAAGCTTTTGCTGATTCTGCTCCTGTGATGGAAACACATATAGAAAGTGTCAAACTAACTGGGAAGAAGGCAAGAAAGAAAAGAAGCAATAAATGTAAATACATGTTTGGTTTAATGTTGTGATATCATGTGAAAGATTGAAGTTGTTTGAAGTAGTTTCAATTTAAAGATGGATCAGAAAGTCACTTTTTTTAACTTAATCTAACGTAAAACCAAACATAAAATCAAACACAGTGAAAGTAAAAGTAACTACAAAGAGAGTATAGGCTCGAAGACCATGTAGGAAATTAACTAGCCTGCTCTTAGTTTGCCTTATTTGATGCCTTCTTGGGAAAGAGTGCATGTGCTTATTTATACCTAAGATGTGGCTGAGAGCAACAAAATAAAGTGAAGTTAGATAAGATTTCCAAGTAATGGTGCATTTGATTGACAAGTGACAACTCAAATGCCTTTACAGACTAACTGTATTTGTACATGTAAAGTCCGCTATCAATACTTATTAATTGGTCCACTAGCTCTGCAACAAGCTTATGTTATGTAATAAAGAAATGTTACATCTCTACATGTTGAGTAATAAATCTAATGCACTTCACACCCTTATAGCTAGCTATTCCCTGTTTGCCAAGACATTTGGAAATAGCTCTAATCTTATACGTCTCTGCTCGTGAAGGTTCAGAAATGTTGCATGTATACAGAGCAAGTGGTAGGTACCATACCATACAGAGCAAGTGATATTTAAAAAAGGAAGCATTCTAATTAAGAAAATAGAAAAACAGCTCTATCAGTTATATATAAACAGCGGCACACAGCATTACCAGACCAGACAAATATAAATTAACAAAGGCCCATACCAGAGGCTTTGTACCTTCTTTGAATTTGAGTTTAAAAATGTAGTTCAACTTAGCAAAATTAGCTTAGGATTAATATATATATATATATATATATATATATATATATATATTTTTTTTTATTACATTTGTCATATCCAAGACTGGAAATAACAAGAAAGCAAAGTGTGTTGCTTTGAGGTTAATTTGTGAATTGTGAGAAACAAAATTTACATACTCGGTTCATTTCCGATAAGCAAAGACATGAATGGAGGAGCTAAACAAGGAAGGAGTTAACCAACTACGTACATTTTATATGACGACAAATGATTAAACAGTAATTCACTTCACGGACATTAGGGGGTTGAAGAAAATAATATATCATGGAAAATCTCGTATATTGATAAGTAATAGTGTGAGAAATAATACGTATATAACAGATTTTATGTTTATATTTGAATTTTTTATATTTATATTTGATTTTTTTATACTTTTATAGCAGAGTGTTGTATGGTTTAATTTAATTTATTTTTTTTAAAGAATGTGATATATTTGGGGCCAAAATGCATAGGAGAGTATTGTACGTATGGTAAAAAAAATTATATAGTATTATTGTCTGGCTATTATTAGTTTGTGACAAATTCAAGTAAAAAATGTCTTCATACGATGTGGATTATAAGACATTAAAAGGAAGAACTTTTGATATAAAGTTAAATATCCTGGTGAGTACTTTTGGTTCCTCCATATGGAACTGACGTTGAAAGTCTTTTTTTCACCTAAAAATTTACTTAAATTTGAAAAATTGTCACTAATAGGATTCAAACTCAAGATTTTAGAATTAAAAACTAATACTCTAACCACTAAACTATTATAATTTTCTAATAATAACTTACAAATAAATTATATTTATATACAAATAAATATATATTCATGTAAATATATATTTATTTGTATATATTTTCTGGAAAGTATTTTTTTCAACCAAAAATTCACTTAAGTTAATAAATTGTCAATGACAAGCATTTGAACCCAAGTATTTTAGAGTTGAAAGTTAATATCTCAACCACTAAACTACTATAATTTTTTTATAATAATTTACAAATAAATTATATTGGTATTTTTCGATCGACGGTGAAAGTGGGATTGACTCTCGCTTGAGTGAAAATATGTTAAAGCTCACGGAAATTCACTCAGTCAAGCCTCGCTTGAGCGAAAATTGGTATTTTTCGCTTGAGAGCGAATAACGCGTTTCCCAAATTTATTTTATATCATTATATAAATAAAATTATAAAGATTATATTCTGTCATTAAATTACGAACTCATATAAAGATATCTCGCTCACAAATTTAGCATCAAATTTTGAAAATCCACTCGACACACACTTTTACTTTCGAGTGTGCCCTCACATCCAACATATAAATATATAAATATATAACTATATAAATATATCAAAATATATAAATATATTTATATTTATATATTTATATATTTACACTGGATATATATTTATTTGTATATAAATATAATTTATTTGTAAGTTATTATCATAAAATTCTAGTAGTTTAGTGGCTGGAGTATCGGCCTCCAACTCTAAGGTTACTGAGTTCGAATCTCGTCAATGACAATTCTCTTAAAAAATTAATAAACTTCTAAAAAATATAATATAAAGATAAGGGAGACTTCTAGATAAATAAAAGGGGTAAATAGGTTGAGATTAAAAAGAAGATATGTTTATTTTAATTATGGTGGAGACTATTGGGTTGATAAAAATAATATATCTTAAAAACTCACATATCACCTTAAATAAGTAATTAAGTAGATTGTAGTAATTATATAATAAACTTGAAGTTCTACGTGTTGGGTTATTGGGCTCCCTTCCTATGTGGAGAATAGGCCCAAATAGTGTGGTCCATTATGTCTCATTTGGGTAAAATGAGATGGGTCAGATTAGTAGAGGACAAGAGAGTCATTTGAAAAAAGACAAAAAGTCTAGTGAGAGAAAAAGAAAGAGAGAAAGTCATCTCCGCATAACCCTAAATCTGCACTGGTGTTTTCGTCGCTGTGAAGTCGTTCACCGTTGGATCGAGCTGATTTTTGGATAGTAGGTTCCAGACATATGGTTCTTCATTCTGACCGTTCGGATCGTCAATCGAAGGTCTAGATTGGGAGAAATTGGTCCCGCACCAGCAGCCCTGTTTTGGAGATTTTTCATCTTCTTTGTTTCTCTTTTGTAAGCATTTGTGCTTAGTTAATTCTGCTTATTGAAAATACCTTTTGGTATTATTATTGGAGACTCTTGTGTACCCCATTATTGATCATAGTGGATTTTTCTTTGGTCTGGACGACTCGTGGTTTTTACCCTTGCATTGAGGGGTTTTCCACGTTAAAATTGTTGGTGTCTCTTTGTGCTTTGGATTCTATTTGTTTGGTGCTCCTCGCCGATTCTCGCAAGAAGGGGGATTGAATTTCCGCTGCATTATTACTCTTTGTCAAGTTGTTATATTTGTTTTTTGGCCTTTTTTTATACCATCGAGTGGTATCGGAGCTCTTAGGTTAAGTGGACTGTTTAATTTGCGTGAATGATGGAGGCACATACAAAATTGATTCCGTTGAATGGAGAAAATTATCACTTATGGAAAGGCAAGATGAAGGATTTGTTATTTGTGAAAAATTTGCATCTTCCTGTTTTTGCTTCCAATAAGCCGGAATCCAAGTCAGATGAAGAATGGGATTTTGAACATCAACAGGTATGTGGATTTATCGAGCAGTTTGTTGATGATAATGTTTATAATTTTGTTGCTAATGAGACACATGCGAGAAGCCTATGGGATAAGCTTGAGTCCTTGTATGCTTCTAAGTCAGGGACTAATAAATTGTACTTGCTGAAAAATTTTGTGGAGTTGAAGTACAAGGAAGGAACTCATGTTTCAAATCACTTGAGTGAATTTCAAGGACGCTATGATCAATTAGCTGGAGTGGGTATAAAATTTGATGATGATCTATTGGGCTTATTCCTATTAAACTCTTTACCGGATTCGTGGGAGACATTTCGGGTTTCCATGATAAGTGCTACCCCTAATGGTGATATTTCTTTGCAAATGGCAAAGAGTGGTGCTCTTAATGAGGAGATGAGAAGGAAGACACAGGGTACTTCATCTCATTCAGAAGTGCTTATTACGGAGAATAGGGGAGAAACCAAAAGAAAGAACAAAACAAGTGGTAGAGATAAAAGCGAGAGCAAGTCCAAGTCTCGGTACAAGAATGTGGAGTGTCACTATTGTCACAAAACAGGACATATAAAGAAAAACTGTTTTTGTGGAAGAAAGAGAGCAAAGACAAAAAGGGTAAGCAAAGAGAAAAAGATAATGATGATGGTGATCGTGTTACTACTACTACATGTGGTGACCTTGTTTGTCTTCGTGATTATGACACTATTAGTCTTGTATCCGATGAGAGCATGTGGATAATTGATAGTGGTGCTACACTCGCATGTTACATCCAGGAAGGAGTTCTTCACATCTTATACACCTGGTGATTTTGGAGTATTGAAGATGGGTAATGATGGGGTGTCTAAAGTTGTTGGTGTTGGTGATGTTCACTTGCAAACCAACATGGGGATGCAGATTGTTGCTTAGAGGAGTTAAACATGCTCCGGATGTTCGCTTTAACTTGATCTCTGTGCAGGTACTTGATGATGGTGGATATTATAACCATTTTGGTTCTGGAAAGTGGAAGCTCACCAAAGGTAACTTGATTGTGGCTAAAGGGGAGAAAAACTCTAAGCTTTACCTGGACAAAAGCTTTGGTTGCTAAAGATAGTGTGAATTCGTGTATATGGAGTCATCTTTGTGGCACAGAAGGCTTGGGCACATCGGTGAAAAGGGGCTTAACTGCTTATTTAAAAAGGATGTTCTCTCAGGATTGAAGAATGTAGATTTGGAGAAATGTTCTCATTGCATGGCTGGTAAACAAACCAGAGTATCCTTCAAGAAGCATCCTCCCTCCAGGAAGTCGAGTTGCTTGAATTGGTGCATTCTGATGTTTGTGGCCCATTGAAGGTAAAGTCTTTTAGTGGTGCACTTTACTTTGTTACCTTTATTGATGATTGTTCCAGGAAGCTTTGGGTTTATGTACTACGAGAGAAAGGACCAAGTGTTGGACAAGTTTAAAGAATTCCATGTTTTGGTTGAGAGGCGGTCAGGCAAGAAGCTGAAACGCATTCGTACCTGACAATGGTGGTGAGTATTGTGGACCATTTGATGCTTATTGTAGACAATATGGTATTGCACATGAGAAGACTCCTCCTAAAACTCCTCAACTGAATGGTTTAGCGGAGAGGATGAACAGGACATTGATTGAAAGAGTTAGGTGTATGCTTTCGAAGCAAAATTGCCTAAGCATTTCGGGGTGAGGCATTGTTTACGAGCAGTGCATGTTATTAATCTAAGTCCTGCAGTTGCTTTGAACTCGAGGTGCCGGACAAGATTTGGTTTGGCAAGAATGTTACTTATGATCATTTACGTGTCTTCGGTTGTAAAGCATTTGTTCATGTTCGAAGGATGAAAGATCCAAGTTGGATATGAAGACAAGGCAATGCATCTTTATTGGTTTTGGTCAGGATGAATTTGGCTACAAGTTGTATGACCCCGTTGAAAAGAAAGTTGTTAGAAGTCGTGATGTGCAATTCATGGAAGATCAAACCATTGAAGATATTGATAAGGAGAAGAAGTCTACACCTAAAGGAAATGGTAATGTGGATGATGTTGATCCAATTCGGTTGTCTATTAATGATTTGGATATTGATGCTCATGATGATGAACAACATGGTGATACCTGATAATCAACAGGTTGAAGATAGCTTGGATGTTCCTATTGATAATGTTGATGAAGAGGAACATGATGTATCACATGATGAGAGTCTTGGTGATATACCCGAGCTACCCGAAACTCAACCTAGAAGATCTGACAGGCCAAGACAACCTTCTAAGAAGTACTCTACCAATGAGTATGTGATGTTGATCGATGAAGGAGAACCTCGAATGTTATGAGGAGGCCGTTGAAAGTGAAGAAAAGCAAAAGTGGTTGGATGCAATGCGGGATGAGATGAAATCGCTGCATGATAATCACACTTATGACTTGGTGAAGTTGCCTAAGGGTAAGAGAGCCTTAGAGAACAGGTGGATCTTCGGGGTGAAGCAAGAGAGCAATTCTACATCTACCGGATATAAAGCCGGATTAGTGGTGAAAGGCTTTAGACAAAGAAAG